CTTCTCTTCTCTTCTCTTCTCTTCTCTTCTCTTCTCTTCTCTTCTCTTCTCTTTTCCCTTACTCCACAGAATCCTATAGCTGGTCTTGGCTTGGCCCCAGGCTACACTCCTGTGCTTTCCTTTTATTGAACCTTTATTTGATTTTAGTAGCCCAAGTAAAGGAAGCCTAACTTTAGGATGTACTAAGGAAAATGTTTGCATTTCCAATGAATTTGTTAACATATTCAGTGGTGTAAGGAAATTTTGTGCCTTTCTTCTAAGCACCACTGTATCCGCCTTATTAAAAATATTTCTTCCAGATTCCATTTCCCAGAGAGCCATCATTATGGAGGAAATCCTCCTCAATCATTAGCAAGATTTTGATGTGTTGTACACAGGGTTACTGTGATTTGGAATGGACTCTATGGCATCTGACAACAACAACAGTCATTACTATCCTCCAGTAATTCACTGCCCCTGCCTCCTTCAAAATTGCCTTCTTGTTTTAGACCATAGAGTGGGAACCAACCCATCCATAGTTGACCCTCCAGCAGATTTTCAAATGCAGTTAATCACACAGGAGGAGATTGCTCATCCTTCTTCTGAGGTGCAGCTGGTGGCCTCGAACCATGTGCTTTCAGGATTGCAGAACAGCTTCTTGCCACTAGGCCACCAGAGCTCCCTCAAATTGCCTTTGAGTAAAAATAGAGGCATTGCTAGATTAAGAGGAAGGAAAAAAACCCTTCATCTTTCAAAACCTTAAAACCCTGACAGTTGCTCAGGGAGGCCTTCATTCTACAATGTATTTTGTATTGGTATTAGAATATATTTGTATTGTTCTGTGGCCCATCTAGTCGGGAGCCCTGGTAGCCCAATAGTTAAAGACTTTGGTCCAGTTAAAAGGTTGGTGATTTGAACCTCCCAGCCACTCCTCAGGGGGAAGATGAAGCCTCTTACTTCTGTAAAGATTTACAGCCTTGGAAACCCTGTGGATAGTTTTGCTCAGCCCCACGGTTTTGCTGTAAGGAAGAATTTACTTGGGAGCAGTAGGATAGGATTTTTTGGTTGGTGGTTTTGGTCACATTATGTCTTACCTAGTACTTACTTCGTATCAGTACTTCATTGCTTTCTAGGGTTTTCAAGGTAAGAACTTCCTGTCTCTATCTTATGGCTTATTGTACTTGTGGGCCCAATACAATGATTTAGATAAGGAAGACACAATAAATACCCACTGAAACACTTAAAAAAAGAAAAGAATTGAGTTGTCCTAAGGAATTGCATAAAACCCTGAAAAATGGAAATATTTTAAAAAAAAACCAACCAACAACAACCCTGAAAACAACTTTACAATAAAGCATCCTTTCATTTTAGATTTAGATGTAGAGTAAAATCAGTTCTAATATCAGAGTAATAGAATTCAAATTACTCTAAATAGTAAATGAAGTGTCAAAGTCTCATAAGTATGCATGTATATATGTATGTTGTTGTTTGTGATTGAGTCAGAACCAACCCATAGCTGATCCTCCACTGGATTTTCAGAGCCAGTAATTGCATGGAAGGAGATCACCCATCCTTCTCTCACAGAACAGCTGATGGATTCGAACCACATGCCTTCAGAATTGCAGCACATTCTTACCACTAGGCCATCAGAACCTCGTGTGTATGTGTGTGTGTGTGTGTGTGTGTT